GCAGCAGCAGCAGCAGCAGCAGCAACAGCAGCAGCAGCAACAGAAGCACAAGCAGCAGCTGCTGCAGCAGTAGAAACTGCAGCAGCAGCAGCAACAGCAGCAGCAGGAATAGAAGCTGCAGCAGCAGCAGTAGAAACTGCAGCAGCAGCAGCAGCAGCAGCAGCAGCTGGAACTGGAGCAGGACGCTGCAGTTACCAGTGTGTTAATTTGCTGTTGCTGCTGCTGCTGCTGCTGTTGCTGCTGCTGTTGCTGCTGCTGCTGCGTGCTGCTGCAGCAAGCAGCAGCAGCAGCAATTGCTGTTGCTGCTGCTGCAGTGTACAGCAGCAAGCAGTATACGCATTAACCTCGCTTTTATAGGGATGCCGCAATTCGATTCGTAGGGTTTAGGGTTTAGGGTTTAGGGTTTATGGTTAGGGTTTAGGGTTTAGGGTTTATGGTTAGGGTTTGTAGTTAAGTGTTTAGGGTTTAGGGTTTAGGGTTTATGCTCTAGGGCTTACGGTTAGTCTCTAGGGTTTATGGTTTAGGGCTAGGGTTTAGGGTTTAGGGTTTAGGGTTTAGGGTTTAGGGTTTAGGGTTTAGGGTTTAGGGTTTAGGGTTGAGGGTTTAGGGTTTAGGGTTTAGGGTTTAGGGTTTAGGGTTTAGGGTTTAGGGTTTAGGGTTTAGGGATGGGGGGTGTCGATACACCCGGAGTATGTTGTGTGCCGGCGGCTATAAATTTTGCTTTTTATTGAAATAGAGAAAAAAAAGAAAAATAAATTAAAATAAAAAAGAGAAAATAAATAAATAAATAAAAATAAATTAATTAATTTAATTAAATTTGTGTTTCTTTGTTTTTTTTTCTCTTTTTTTTGTCTGTATATACACCCCATCGCCACCACCACCACCGCGGTGGGTTTGTTGCTGCATACCACCGCCAGCTGTATCTTTGCTTTTTATTTATTTTCTTTTTTTTTGTTTTATTTTAAATTTTATTTAATTTATTTAATTTATTTAATTTATTTAATTATTTTATTCATTTCACTCCTTTTTAGTCTCTCTACTCCACTGCAGCCTCCGAAGCCCACTGGTCACAGCAGCAGCAGCAGCAGCAGCAGCAAGTGCTGCAGCAGCAGCAGCAGCAGCAGCAGCACCCCTTTTATAAACATTAAGCAGCAGCAACAACGACCTGACTGCAGCAGCAGCAACAAGCCCAGGCAGCAACACCACCAGCTGCAGCTGCAGCAGCAGCAGCAGCAGCAGAAGCAGAAGAGAAGGCAACGACAGCAGCAGCAGCAACAGCAGCAGCAACAGCAGCAGCAGCAGCAGCAGGAACAGCAGCAGCAGCAGCAGCAAATGGGTGCTCCTTCCAAGCCCCCAGCAGCAAAGCCAGCGGCTAAAACTGCAGCAGCAGCAAAGCCAGCAGCAGCAGCAAAACCAGCAGCAGCAAAACCAGCAGCACCAGCAGCAGCAAAGCCAGCAGCAGCAAAGCCAGCAGCAGCAGCAAAGCCAGCAGCAGCAGCAGCAGCAAAACCAGCAGCAGCGGCAGCAGCAAAACCAGCAGCAGCGGCAGCAGCAAAACCAGCAGCAGCAGCAGCAGCAAAACCAGCAGCAGCAGCAGCAGCAAAACCAGCAGCAACAGCAGCAGCAAAACCAGCAGCAACAGCAGCAGCAGCAGCAAAGAAGAATGTAGCCCCCAAAGCTTCGCCTGCAGTAGCAGCTGCAGCAAAGCCAACACCACGATCTGCTGCTGAACCTGCTGCTGCTGCTGCTGCTGCAAAGAAGACAGCAGCAGCAAAACCAGCAGCAGCAGCAGCAGCAAAGCCAGCAGCAGCAGCAAAGTCCCCAGCAGCAGCACCACCAGTAAAGGCTTCAGCAGCAGCAGCAGCAAAACCAGCAGCAGAAGCAGCAGCAAAACCAGCAGCAGCAAAGCCAGCAGCAGCAGCAGCAAAACCAGCAGCAGAAGCAGCAGGTAAACCAGCAGCAGCAGCAGCAAAGCCTGCAGCAGCAGCAGCAGCAAAACCAGCAGCAGCAGAAAAACCAGCAGCAGCAGCAGCAGCAAAACCAGCAGCAGAACCAGCAGGTAAACCGGCAGCAGCAGCAGCAGCAGCAAAACCAGCAGCAGAAGCAGCAGCAAAGCCTGCAGCAGCAGCAGCAGCAAAGCCAGCAGCAGAAGCAGCAGCGGCAAAACCAGCAGCAGCAGCAGCGGCAAAACCAGCAGCAGCAGCAGCAAAGCCAGAAGCAGCATCGACAGCAAAGCCTGTAGCAGCAGCAGCAGCAAAACCTGCAGCAGCAGCAGCAAAACCAGCAGCAGAAGCAGGAGCTAAAGCAGCAGCAGCAGCAGCTGAGCCAGCAGCAGCAGCAGCAAAACCAGCAGCAGCACCTGCAGCAAAGCCTGCAGCAGCAGCAGCAGCAAAGCCTGCAGCAACAGCAGCAGCAGCAAAACCAGCAGCAGAAGCAGCAGCTAAACCAGCAGCAGCAAAGCCAGCAGCAGCAGCAGCAGCAACACCAGCTGCAGCAGCAG